GATAGAACCCACATTGTTGTTGGCTTTTTAAATATTGCTGTGTAGTATTAGAATATCTTAAATATTTATGACATATTTATGACATAAGTTTTATGCATAATTGTTTTTCTTTAAGAAGCAGTTTCAAATATTAATATATCTAGCTGTTTGATTACAAACATTTAAAAAAGCCTGCAAGGGATCCTCTATGACCCACATCCCAGAATTTTAGAAACAAAAGCAAAAATAAACAAATGGGACCTAATGAAACTTAAAAGCTTTTGCACAACAATGGAAAGTATAAGCAAGGTGAAAAGACAGCCCTCAGATTGGGAGAAAATAATAGCAAACGAAGCAACAGACAAAGGATTAATCTCAAAAATATACAAGCAACTCCTCCAGCTCAACTCCAGAAAAATAAATGACCCAATCAAAAAATGGGCCAAAGAACTAAACAGACATTTCTCCAAGGAAGACATACAGATGGCTAACAAACACATGAAAAGATGCTCAACATCACTCATTATCAGAGAAATGCAAATCAAAACCACAATGAGGTACCATTATACGCCAGTCAGGATGGCTGCTATCCAAAAGTCTACAAGCAATAAATGCTGGAGAGGGTGTGGAGAAAAGGGAACCCTCTTACACTGTTGGTGGGAATGCAAATTAGTACAGCCACTATGGAAAACAGTGTGGAGATTTCTTAAAAAGCTGGAAATAGAACTGCCATATGACCCAGCAATCCCACTTCTGGGCATACACACCAAGGAAACCAGATCTGAAAGAGACACGTGCACCCCAATGTTCATCGCAGCACTGTTTATAATAGCCAGGACATGGAAGCAACCCAGATGCCCATCAGCAGACGAATGGATGAGGAAGCTGTGGTACATATACACCATGGAATATTACTCAGCCATTAAAAAGAATTCATTTGAATCAGTTCTAATGAGATGGATGAAACTGGAGCCCATTATACAGAGCGAAGTAAGCCAGAAAGATAAAGACCATTACAGTATACTAACACATATATATGGAATTTAGAAAGATGGTAACGATAACCCTATATGCAAAACAGAAAAAGAGACTCAGATGTATAGAACAGACTTGTGGACTCTGGGAGAAGGCGAGGGTGGGATGTTTCAAGAGAACAGCATCGAAACATGTATATTATCTAGGGTGAAACAGATCACCAGCCCAGGTTGGGTGCATGAGACAAGTGCTCGGGCCTGGTGCACTGGGAAGACCCAGAGGGATCGGGTGGAGAGGGAGGTGGGAGGGGGGACCGGGATGGGGAATACATGTAAATCCATGGCTAATTCATTTCAATGTATGACAAAAACCATTGCAATGATGTAATGTAATTAGCCTCCAACTAATAAAAATAAATGGAAAAAATAAATAAATAAAAAATAAAAGAAGAAAAAAAAAAAAAGCCTGGAAGGCTTTTTGTTATTTCTTAGTGTTGGGATTAGATGAGTATGTTTAATATTCTTATTTTTATATAAAAAAACAAAGAAAGAAGGTATTTCAAAATATGTAAAGTAATAAATATCAGATTTTAGTTTTAGTCTTATTTTTCCCAGAAGGGTGGTATATTTTATCTCTATATAACATCAAATTATAGTTTTTAAATGGAAGCTTATTGCTATGTAAATTTCAGACTCTACATTATTAAAGTAGGTTAATTGGTTTGGGTTAAGACTATCTGAGAATTCCTGACCTGAGTATAAATTTAGGGATTTGGAGAGTTTGTAATCTGAATTTTCAAAAGGGAATTGAGAAGGTGAATATATCTCTGAACTTTGAAGTGTAGTCAGCTTCCAATTATCTGCTTGTGCCAGAGACCATCCCCTCCTAGGTGGGAAGTTCTCATACTGCTTGGAAGCTGCCGTTGCCTGTTTTGGGTAGAAAAGGGTTCCACCCATCTTTTTGGTTTTTAAAGCCACTCTCCCCACCCATGCAGATGGTATGATTGCATATCATCCATCTTTCAGATGCACTCCTCCTTTCCATTAGCAAGGATAATAAGCAGGTGAGTAGAGGTTAGGTAAATTCTGAGTGACACTGGCATTCTAAAATTGGCTGTAGTATCTACAATTCAAATAGTGCTTATTCTTTATGTTGAAACTAAATTAAAATTATTTTAATAGCCAAATAAGATGGCCTGTGGTTATAGTCATTTACTTAAAATTAATGAGGCACTGATTTCAAACAGTAGCCTAGTGCTCATTTTCATTTAGTTGTTTTTATGTTTATCTGTTTTATTACTTGGAGTTTATTAAATTTCACAGTGCAGCTATAAATCAGGGAGAGAGCAGAACTTTGGGATAAATGGGGTAGCTCTCAGGAGACACAGCCTTGGCTCAGATATGACTTTATGGTGGAATGCAGAATTAGGTGAGTGCTTCTGAGAGAAGTGAAATCTAAACAGAGATCGAAAACAAGATATTCAGGCTGGAAAAGGAGTTGGGAATTGAGAAGGAAGAATGTCCAGGAGAGAAAATCATATTTGAAAGCATAGATGCTAGAGAAAGCATAATTTGTTAGTGAAACCAGCTAAAAATAAACCATCACCACAACTATCATCACTAACGAAAGTCCTTTGATGGGAAGATGAACCATGGCAAGAGGAGACTGCAGAATGATTTAAGGGTATACTAGAGAGTCTTTGGGCTTCCCAGATGGGGCTAGTGGTAAAAGAACCCACCTGCAAATGCAGGAGACATAAGAGATGGGGGTTCGATCCCTGGGTCTGGAAGATCCCCTGGAGAAGGACATGGCATGCCACTCCATTATTCTTGCCTGGAGAATCCCATGGACAGAGTAGCCTGGTGGGCTACAGTCCATAGCATTGCAAAAGTCAGACACAACTGAAGCAACTTAGCACACACACAAAGAGTTTTAGGCAAGGCAGTAATCAACCATATTTTACAAATATCATATCAACTTCATATTTTGCAAATATATCAACTTCATATTTTATAAATATCCATACCAATCTGGAACAGATTGATAGGGGGCAGAATTTGACACAGGCTCTCTGGTGAGAAGACTTTTTGCAATAATCCAAGTAAGAGATAATGGTGGCTTGATTAGGGTGATTTGATGAGGAAGGGAAGAAAATGGATGAGCTGTTTCTGAGATAATTAATAGTCCTTAGAGATAGGTTAAATAGGTGGAGTAGGGAATAGGGAGTAATTGAAGCTGACTTTTCTAATGGGCCAACAGATAGGATGGTGAATCTTCCAAGGAGGATGGGGGATTTGTTTTTCTCCCCTTGACTCTCCTGAGGAGGATGGTATTTATCATTTTTATCCCCATGAATGAATGAAGTGAGACAGGAGAAGGGGAGTTTGGAAACAAGGGAATATTAACTTTGAGAAAGACAACTCATCAAGAAAATGTGGAACCAGAAAGCCAAAGCTGCTTACTACAATGGGCTGTCTTTATAGTCCATGGATATAGTTTCTTGTAAGAAACATTTGTTTTATTTCTTATAATAGTATATAAATATTATTCCTCAATGTTCTTCAGACAAATAGTGTTAGATCTGAAAGGAATCTTAGAAATGATAGTTTCTGTCAACTGGTGAGGAAATTGGAGCTCCAAGAGAAGACCACATGCTACTTATAGAGTAAGAGAAGTGTTAGAATCCAAGTCTCCTAAAGACCACTTCATTACTCTTTCCATAGTACCTAGCCAGCTCCCCATTGATTATTGCATGCTATTAAATCATTGAAGTGGAAGACTTTATGGAAGAAAAATATCATTATTACAGAAGAAAGGAAAATTGCATAAATAAATAGCATTCTTTACTTAACATTTTTTTGCTAGTACAGAATTCTGTTTAAGGTAACCAGGGTTACAGAAATTCAGTCCCTTCTCAGTATTGCCAAGGATTAAAACTCAGGTGATCTGGACTTAGGCTTGGCTTTATTTGTGACAAATAGATGAACTCACTCCACTTCTATAGATCTCTATTTCTGTATCTCAGAAAATGATATTTCTTTAAAATCCTTTCTATTTTCTGTCTGTATCATTTTATATTTTCTATTACTGGTTGTCTTTACTTTCTTCTTTAAATTGCTTCTTTTTCTTCATGGCAAATAGGAACCTCTTAAAAACCCAAGTAGAATAAATTAGTGACATGTATGTCCTGATGGTCCTGTTTATGGAGTGAATAAAACAGGGCCAGATTTTGTTTTGTTCTGTTAGTAACATATCTCCATATTTACTTTCCTTCTTTGACAAATAGGCCTTGAAATCAGGATGCTAATGCATAAGAGGAAGGTCCTAGAATCTGAAGTATGAGAGTTGGGTGTAGATCAAGTATAATGCTGTGATGTAAATGATGATTCAGTAGTTTTGGAGAGAAAATATTTAGAACATTTTTGTGTTTTTATTTTTAAATTCTTTCTTTTCAAAATTCTGCTTTTGTGTATATCATATGACAAACCAATATGGTACATGCATATATTTATAAGTGAATATACAATGTGGGATTATATATTCTGAAATTATGCTTAAATATGTTAAGCTAACAGAAGGTTATGGTCAAATAAGTTTTGGAACCATTAGTGAAGAGTTTGCAAAAAATGGTAAGTCACAGGTATCAAAATAAATGCTATGTTCTTAATTTCTCATTTTTGGATATCATCCTCTCTGGAAATAAAGAAAAGAAGTCTAAAAGGAAGATAGCAATAAATAATGTTTTGGTAGTTGAACTTACTTAACTGAGTCTTCTTACTTCTTACAGAGTTGAGAAAAGATATTCTCTCACAAAAGTTCTAATTTTAAGATTAATTTTACTCTTAGCCATGATTTTTTTGGATTAAGTAACTCATATTGAAATTAGCTCAGTATTGTTTAACTTAAACTTTTCAGCTCAAGGTGTAAATACTAGATTGCATTTGTGATTAAAAAAGATTTGGCTAGGATTTTCAAAATCCTACTTCTTCAGTTTTTTTTCCATTTATTGTATCTTATTTTATTTCTTCCTGTTTTTTCCCTCACAGAATAAGACCACAGCTTGCCAAAGAAAGGATTGAAGGATGCCATATTTGTACATCTGTAACGCCTGGAGAGCCTCAAGTCTTCCTAGGCAAGGATAAAGCTTTCACTTTTGATTATGTGTTTGACATTGACTCCCAGCAAGAGCAGATCTACACTCAGTGTATAGAAAAACTAATTGACGGCTGTTTTGAAGGATATAATGCTACAGTTTTTGCTTATGGACAAGTAAGTTTCAAATTACTTTCATAGACACTGTAACTTTTCAGAAGTGTTGGTTCAGTTCCACTTTCATTTTTGTTGCTTGAGATTATGTTATTAAGATCAAGCATCCATTTTTCTCCATTCTTTTATTCAGACTGGAGCTGGCAAAACATACACAATGGGAACAGGATTTGATGTTAACATCATTGAGGAAGAACAGGGTATAATTTCTCGTGCTGTTAAACATCTTTTCAAGAGTATTGAAGAAAAAAAACACACTTCCATTAAAAATGGACTTCCTCCTCCAGATTTTAAAGTGAATGCCCAGTTCTTAGAGGTAATGGTTTAACTGTGTCATTAGTTTCCTTTAAGTCTTGTACTTAAGACCGTAGCCCTATGACTTTTTAGTCCAGCTTCCATTTTAGTGCTTGGCATATGGTGTTCAATAAATGTTGTTTGAGTAAATTAACGTAGGCACTAATAACAAGAGATAATAGGTAATAAGTATTCCTTACTTATTGGCATTTAAGATTACAGATATTTGACCAGCATAACAATTAATATTGTTTATTTCAGATTTTTTTTTTGTTTTCTGAGAATTACTTTTGTAATGTAGTTAGGTTCACAAAGTGCTGGGAATTCAGTAACTAAGACCAAAAGGGAGGGAGAGAATATGAGGAATAATACAATTGATGCTGCAGCACTAGTCTGGCTGCAGAAGCTGGTATTACTACAAGGATACACAGGTACTTTAATGCAGTATCTAAAGATTAGGGCAGGTTTGGATTAATTTAGGGCAGTCTAGGCTGGTAGGAAGGTCATGCTAGGAAGAAGACATTTAAGATTTGAGCAGTATTGCAATTGGGTGGACAGTACCATTATAATTCTGTATGCTTGGTCCAACGAGCATTCTAGTCTAATTGTAGTCTAGATCACCTAAGCAAATCACTTTGATAATTGATGAAACATTTTATTCAGCATTATATAGCACAAAATAGAAAACAATTCAAATTAACATCAGTTATCTTCCTGCTAGTTTTAATGGACATTCCAATTTAATAAAAACCAAGAAGAATATAATTATGTGTTTCTACCAAAAGAAAGGTAACTAATGATGGAAAAAGAAAAGAAACTGTTTTTTTATCTTCCCTTTCACCCTGTGTTATTAGGCGTTATGACTGTAAGCATATTGATAGAAAAATTGGTGTATACATCCTCTTATAAGGTGGTAGCACAATCTCATCAGAGTCTATTGATATATTGCTCATCTTGCAAAAATACTAAGTATTAATTTTTAGATATACTAAGAAGGGTTGTAGGGCCAAAGAAAACATACTTTTAGTTCAAACACTAAAAATTCTTAAAACCTTCCCTAAACTTTCAAGCTTAGGATTTGTCTACATTTGATACATATTTTTCTATAATTTACTTGTATTTATAAATATTTATCTCTTGCAGAGGGTTAGTGGATCATTTTAGCTAGTCCGTAACTCATTAATCATGATTAAGTCTTTTACTCTTCTTACCCTTGTGAAGAAATCTGGCATTTATTTTTATTTGTGGTCATTTTTATGTGTTATTTTGAATAAATATGTCATTTAGAAGAATTTTTAAGGTATATTTCAAAGATAACATGAATATGTGTTATTACAGCCGTGAGGTGATTATGACTAATGTTAAACTTCTTTTAATAGCTATATAATGAAGAGGTTCTTGACTTATTTGATACTACTCGTGATATTGATGCAAAAACTAAAAAATCAAATATAAGGATTCATGAAGATTCAGCTGGAGGAATTTATACTGTGGGCGTCACAACACGTACAGTGAATACAGAATCCGAGGTGACATTTATGTTATAGTTAAAATAGAGCATGTTTGGGGAATTCCCTGGTGGTGCAAGTGTTAGGGCTCTTTACTCCCAGTGCAGAAGGCATGGGTTCCATCCTTGCAAGCTTCAAGGCATGGCCAAAGAAAAAAATAGAGCACATTTGGCTTTATTTAATAGCTTTGCTGCTCACAATATGAAATTTGTATCCTAAAGAGTAGCAGTGAGGTAAAATTTTATCTTCTTCATCATTTTTTCCAGGATTTTATTATTAAAAATGTCATAATTATGATAAAGTCAGTGCATTTATCATAACATCTAAAGAATGTAAAGCTTTGTATGTATAGTTTTCTTTCACACCTAGAAAAAGAGGATTAGATGATTTAAAGTGAAGGATGAGACCACAGCCCTTTGCGCTTTTTGCTATAACACGTGGAGGCTGTGGGGCTTCCCTGGGGGCTCAGTGGTAAAGAATCTGCCTGCAATGCAAGAGACGCATTCAGTCCCTGGGAAATTCCATGGACAGAGGAGCAGCCTGGCAGGCTACAGTTCATGGTTGCAATAGAGTCAGACATGACAGTGACTAAACAACAACATCGTGCAGTCCTGTATGTGGCTCCTAAAGAAAGACTGTTGAGAAAACTCACCCTGGGGAGTTCTGTGGCAGTCCAGTGCTTGGATTCAGTGTTTTCAGTACCTGGGTCCTGAGTTCAATTCCCGGTGAGGGACAAAGATCTGCAAGTCACTTAGAGTGGTCCAAAAAAAAAGTTACAAATAAGAAAATACAGAAGAGCCTGAGTAATTCCAGTTATTGCTTAGTTTGTTCCAAAGTGTCCTACTGTAATAGTTTTGAAATAGAAGCTGCGGACATCAACAAATGGCAAACAATGGAATCTCAGTGTTTACAAAAACAAACACTATTATACTTTCTGGTCAAAAAATGCCTGTAAATAAAATAATAAGACAATCTACCTCTTGTACATCTTTTAATACGATGAATTTTAACCAGTAGCTCAGATTTATGATTGTGTAGATTTAGTTTAAGCATTGTTCAAGTAAAACTCCTCTTTCTTTCCCTTTTCTAGATGATGCAGTGTTTGAAGCTGGGTGCTTTATCTCGGACAACTGCTAGTACCCAAATGAATGTTCAGAGCTCTCGTTCACATGCCATTTTTACCATTCACTTGTGTCAAACCAGAATGTGTCCTCAAATAGATGCTGTGAGTTAGTTCTAATGTCTTAAACTTTCAGATTTAATTTCTATAAAATCACATGAGTATCAAAGAGAATATTTGTGTCAAATTTAGTTTGTTTAACCATTCCTTTTCCTAATGAGATGTCCCTGGATTTATTTAAGCTAAAGCTGGCCAGCCATATAAAATTTTGAAATTAAAAATTGACTATATGTCTCTAGTAGCCAGAAAGTATGATGATGGATTAATTACTTGAAACCCTTTGCTTTTGAGGGTTGTATGCTACAAATTTCTCTTCAATATAAGCAAAGCCTTAGTTGATAGCTTTCTTTGATCTAACTTTGTCTAAGGTTCTAGTTGCAACAGGCATTTTATGCTTATATTTATTTGACTACAGGCCTATACTTGTCTATGTGAAAAATGAAGGCAAGATGGGGTTGAAGGATAGATATTTAGTGTCACGTTAATAAGGTATTTTCAATTATCTTCCTCAATTACAGGAAAGTGCAACTGATAATAAAGTGATTTCTGAATCATCACAGATGAATGAATTTGAAACTCTGACTGCAAAGTTCCATTTTGTTGATCTGGCAGGTTCAGAAAGACTGAAACGTACTGGAGCTACAGGCGAGAGAGCAAAAGAAGGCATTTCCATCAACTGTGGACTAGTAAGACTAAGACTTTGTGCTGGGAATATATCAGGGTTATTTTATTATCCTTTTCCATTTTATAATATATAATACCCAAGTAGAAATCCTTCATACACTGAGCTGAGAAATGAAAATTGCTGTAAACTTATGAGTAATGCATTGAATTTTGATGTCAGGCTGTCAACTTTTTTCTCCTTTTCACATTGTAAGTTTTCTTCAAGTGTAAAAAATTAGTTGGATTAAGTTTTATGATGTGTGCATGAGATATGTATATATATATATAATAGAAATGATTTTTAAATTCTCAAATTTAAAAATATACTCTTAATATTAAATATTATATGGGATGACCTGTAAAGTAGTTTTATGCTAACATTTTTATGACAGACTTTATTTTGGAAATTATAATAACATGTTATTTAATAATGATTATTTCAAAATGATAACTTTTCTCATTTTAGGAATTAACTTTAATACCCTGCCATCTAGTGGTGTTTTTGATTGATTGGAAAGCATCTTGTGTTGGAGTTAGCCTAAAGTTCCTATTATCTGAAAGAAAATGTTCTGAACCAAATTTTTATGTAATAAATCTTTTTTTCTTATTGATTTCATTATAAAAGTGGTTCTTTGTTCCTGCTTAAAAGTAATGGCATTGTAAATTTCTGTGATGCTGACAGCACCAGGACAGGTGTCTTCTGCTTTGCCTTTCTCCCTTTCTTCCTAGAGCAGGGGATCCAAGCATATGGTCCTTTTTTTGGTCATTGCCTAATATTTGCTGTTACATGATTATAACCCTTCTGTGGGGGAATTATCAATTGAGACTGATTAGAGAGATCCAGCCTTCCCAACCATGCATCCTGATGCTCCCACCATATGGTTGATTATTGTGGTCAGAGGAATGAGTGAGCAGGATCCTGGACTTTGTGTATTGTTTTGAATTTCTTGATATATAAAATCGTGGTATGGTGTTTACATTTGTGCTGTTTGGAAAAGACAAAAGCCATTGCTCAGTTTTCTTGTTCAAGCTATTGAAACGTGTTCAGACGTGTGGTAGAGGTTCAGTGTGACCAGTGGCTAAAACTGCAGACTCTAGAAAAGGGGGACTGAGACACAGTGTGATGCTGATGCCCTCTCTGCAGCATCCATTGGCTCTAACAAAAACACAGTTATAGGCGAGTATGGCAAGCATTTAGGGAAAATACTTATGCTGTAGGTGCTAGTTCAGTGACTAGGAAAAGTAGAAGTAGATGGCAGGAGGAGGGACTAAAGAGTTCTACAGTTTGACTTAATTTCTTAAATATTGGATGCTTATTGCATAGATTCATTGAATTTCTAAGTGCTGCTGGACTTAATAATACTTTATTCAGAGATACCATACTGATATGTTTATTGTGTTTAAAAGAAATTTTTGTTTTCATTTAAGGAAGCTATAGTACAAGAAAGTTCCATGAAATTGTTAAACTAGCAATTTATTTCTTCATTGAGCTGAGGAGAAGAATTTGCAACATGAATTGGCAGTTTTGTGAGAGATACCTCATGATGCTCTGATAATTCTAAGAATGGTTTAGAAGTCATCAATCTTACAACATTCCAATTTCTAAAGAAAACCTCTTCATAGATGTTTTAGTATTTTTGAGTTATGGATATTTATATTGCACTAAATTTTGATTGGTGTCAGTTTTTTAGTAGTTATATAAAAAGCTTCAAGTTTACTTCATTTTTCAAAATACAAATGTAAAGTAAAACCAAACAGAAGTGGTCTCAATTCTGCCATGTCTTTGTATTATTTTCTATAAGATTTCATCATTTAAAAATGTCATAATTAGTACATTTTTATCATTTTCCTCTCTCTCTTTCTACCTTTTAGTTGGCACTTGGCAATGTAATAAGTGCATTGGGAGATAAGAGCAAGAGGGCAACTCATGTTCCCTATAGAGATTCTAAGCTGACAAGACTGCTACAGGACTCTCTTGGGGGCAATAGGTATGCAGAAGTGTTTATCCTCCATACTCCTGGATTTCAGTTGTTCATTATTTTTAAAATGTTTGAAAAGTGATTTATAAGAATTGTTTATTATAAAATAAATTAATGAGGAACTAGTAGTTATTAAGTGCCTCAAGTGCATGAGTGCTTTTCATGTCATTTCACATATTTCTTGTAACATCTCTTGAGATAGGTATTGTTATTCCTATTTTATAGATAAGAAAATTCAAATGCAGAGAGATTAAGTAATTTATTCAGTCACTTGGCATATGAAATCCTTGGCATACGTTCTCTCTACTATACAGAGTTTCAGTTTTGAGTGCTTGGCACATACTTGATGCCTAGTAAAATTTTGTTAAAAAATGCTGTCTTCTATGTAATTAAAAAAATAATTTAAATATTATTAATTTTTAAAAAATTATTTATTTATTTTACTTTACAACATTGTATTGGTTTTGCCATATATTGACTTGAATCCGCCACGGGTGTACATGTGTTCCCCATCCTGAACCCCCCTCCCACCTTCCTCCCCACCCCATCCCTCTGGCTAAATATTATTAATTTTTTTACAATTTTCCTAAAAATTAAACATTTTTTTTTAATTTTAGAAAACTTTAAAAATATTAATTGAATGAAATATAGGGTGTTTGCTGGTTATTAACTTTGCCAGAATCCCTGATATTCCTCCTCTTCTGTACTTTGCATCATCCTGATATGTTTCATTAGCTAAATGTATTCTTTTGGTAATGCATTCCTCTTTATAAACATCAGCATGTTGGCTTTAAAAGTGAAAACATTTTTGGCATTTAAATTCAGTCTTTGCGTAGTTCAATGTTACATACAAACTGATGCTATAAAACAATTCAGTAATTAAATTTGCCAATTTTCTCTTTGAACAACTATTATTCAAAGAATTTTGATAATGTTGAATTTATTTGGGCTGAGGTTGGATGGATTTGGAAATAACGTTTTGCTTTATAGAATTGAACAGTATCATTTTTATATTGCTTCTTTATATTTATATTCTTTATATTGGCATTGGCTTGACTCATCCCTCTTCTAGCATATCCTTTGTATTGCTTCCATTTGTCCATATTTCTTCTGTTCTATATTTTCATTTGACTTTAAATATCAATCTGAACCTTATTGTAACTACACAAAAATTTTTGTTTTTTAAACCAACTATAAATTATTAAAGTTTGCTAAATTGTAGCCTCTTCCAATATTTATTTCTTTACTTTATAGTATATCTTTGTTTTGTAACAAAGAAGAGATACTAAACCTCTTCCCCTTACCAGTGTCAATACTTTTGAATACTTCAGTACTTCTGAGAGTTTGCTTGCCCTGTAATAATCTAAGATATTTGCACTATGGATTTTGAATTCCTCTTGAGGTTTATCCAAGCGACAGCTAAAGAATCTCAGATGTTCCTCACCCATTACCCAAGTGGGTGGTAACTCCTTTCTTCTAATCCCATTCTCCTCTGTTCATGGAATTCTCCAGGCAAGAACACTGGAGTGGATAGCCATTCCCTTCTCTAGGGGATCTTCCCGACCCAGGGATTAAATCCAGGTCTCCTGTATTACAGGCAGATTCTTTACCATCTGACCATCAGGGAAGCCCAGTCCCATTTTCAGTCACACTCATAAAATTATGAGATTAGTCTCCTCTTTCAAAAGTATCGTACTTCATATAAGCGTCGGAGAACAAAATGCCTTTATTTTGTGATGTTTATACGAATTACTCTTAAAGAAAAATTAGATCAAAGATAATTTGTGGAAACAAATTGCATATATTTATATGAACGATTTGGTCACTTTTTAAAAAAACCAACCTGGCTTTTACATGTTTATAATGTTTAATACTTTAAGAATTTTATAGCAAAAACTTTGAAAAATATAAAATATGAATAAAAATTAATCATGTTTCTACTACCTATAGGTAACTATTGTTAATATTGTGATACATTTCCTCCCTTATGAATAATATGATATAGTAACATATAAGATAAATAACTTTATTTGTTTATGCTGTACTGCATGGCTTATGGGATCTCAGTTCCCTGACAAAGGATTGAACCCAGGCCACATCAGTGAAAGCACTGAATCCTAACCATTAGACCACCAGGGAACTTCCTAATACTGGGTTGCCAAAAGGTTTGTTAATTTTTCCATAAGATGGCTCTAGAAATGCTTGGTTGTCTTTACTTCATTCGAAATAATTTTGTTAGACTGTATCATCATAGCTGTCATATTAGCGTGCATTAAAAAAAACTTATCAAAATTAGTGAATTTTTGTGTAGTCATTTTAGTATTGAAGATGGAAGGAAAAAAGCAACATTATTAGCATATTATGCTTTATTATTTCAAGAAAGGTAAATATGCACCTGAAAGGCAAAAAACAATTTGTTTCAGTGTATGGAAAAGGTACTGAAACCGATTGAATGTGTCGAAAATGACTTGATAAGTTTTGTGCTGGAGATTTCTCTCGGGATGATGCTCTATGGTCAGGTAGACTTGTTGAAGTTGATAGTGGTCAAATCAAGATATTAGTTGAGAAAGATCCATGTTATACCATGCAGCAGATAGCTGACACACTCACAATGTCAAAATCAAGCACCGAAAATCATTTGTACCATCTTGGTTATGTTAATTGCTTTGATGTTTGAGTTCCACATAAGTTATGTGAAAAAACCTTCTTAACCACATTTCTGCATGCAATTCTCTACCTAAACATAATCAAAGTGTTGTTTTAAAAACAAGTTGTAATGGGCAGTGAAAAGTGGATAGTGTTAAATGATGTGAAATGGAAGAGACCATGAGGCAAGTGAAATGAACCACCACTAACCACACCAAAGGCCAGTCTTCATTCAAAGAAGGTGATGTTGTGTATATAATGGGATTGGAAGGGAGTCCTTTTTATGAGCTCCTCTGGAAGACCAAGTGATTAATATCAACAAGTACTGCTCCCAACTGAAAGCAGCACTCAAAGAAAAGCATCCGTAATTAGACAACAGAAAATACATAATCTTCCACCAGGACAATGCAAGACCATATGTTTCTATGATGACCAGGCAAAAACTATTATTGCTTGTCTAGGAAGTTCTGGTTCATCCACTATATTCACTGTATATTGAATCTTCAGATTTCCATTTATTTCAATCTTTACAAAATTCTTTTAATGCAGAAAATTTCAGTTCCCTAGAAGGACTATACAACACCTGGAACTGTTCTTGGCTCAGGAAGATTAAACATTTTGGGAAGGTGGAATTATGAAGTTGCATGAAAAGTAGCAGAAGGTAGTGGAACAAAATGGTGAATATAAAGTTTTTGGTGAAAATGAAAAATGTGTCTTTTAATTTTTACTTAAAAACCAAAGGAAGTTTCTGGCCAACCCGATATATTTAAGTTATATGACTTCCTTTAAGACAGTTATGATTTTATATAAAAATAAACCACTTTCCTTTAAAAAACATTTTTCATAAAATTGTTCTTGGAATTTGTGTGTTTTGGGTTTTATTTAATATGTGACCTTTTTCCTATGTGATAGACGTTAGCTCTTCTCATTCCTAATTTCACCATTCTTAAGCACTTAAACCCAGTACTTTTTGTAAAGGAGAGTTCTCTACTCTTCCCACTTCCCAGTTGTGGTGGATTGATATTGTACATGACTGTATTCAGCTTATCCCATTATGTGAGTTTGAAAACACTTGAACTGCTATATACGCTATTCAATAAAATGAGTTCATTGATTACAGCAAGTTCAAATGTTGTAAAAGTTTCTAAAATGCCTACTCTCAATTTCTATACTTGTCATGAATTTCCCAGACTGGCACTGGACCAGAGACTACACTTTTGAGTAGCACTGACCTCTAATTAGTATCCATAACCATCACTCTCATTAAATTACCTTATCTTCTTCATCAACAGAGGTGCATGAATTATCTTCTCACTTCAAATAAATAAATATACACATGATATATGAACAATTATTAGGGACCTAATATGTTCCAAATCCTAATATGTTCCAAACAAATAACAATGACCTAATATGTTCCAAATAGATGGGCAAATACATGGGGAAACAATGGAAACAGTGACAGACTATTATTGGGGGGGGCTCTAAAATCACTGCAGATGGTGACCGCAGCCATGAAATTAAAAGACACTTGCTCCTTGAAAGAAAAGCTATGACCAACCTAGGCAGCATATTAAAAAGCAGAGACATTACTTTGCCAACAAAGGTCCTAGTCTAGTCAAAGCTATGGTTTTTCCAGTAGTCATGTATGGATGAGAGAGCTGGACTATAAAGAAGGCTGAGCACCAAAGAATTGATACTTTTGAACTATGGTGTTGGAAAAGACTCTTGAGAGTCCCTTGGACTGCAAAGAGATCAAACCAGTCATTCCTCAGGGAAATCAGTCCTGAATATTCACTAGAAGGACTGATGCTGAAGCCGAAACTCCAATGCTTTGGCCACCTGATGCAAAGAACTGACTCATTTGAAAAGACCCCGATGCTGGGAAAGATTGAAGGCAGGAGGAGAAGGGGACGACAGAGGATGAGAGGGCTGGATGGCATCACCGACTTGATGGACATGAGTTTGAGTAAGCTCTGGGAGTTGGTGATGGACAGGGAGGCCTGGCATCCAATAGTGCATGGGGTCTCAAGGAGTCAGACACAACTGAGCGACTGAACTGAACTGAATATGTTCCAAATATCTTGTATGAAGTAATCTGATGAATAAAAAATAGTTGATGATCCTTTTCCTTGGAGTTTAGTATCTAAGAGTTGGATCTATAAAATTTTAATACAGTCATAATCATAATCCATAAAGAAGAGGTATGCAGAGGTTATGAGGAAGCAGAGAAAAAAGTACAGCCAAGCTCAGGGTTTGGTTCTTAGACTAGAAGAGATCTAAGTTCAATCTTGAATAATAGTAAAACTAAGGGTAAGTAAGGATGACCAAGAGTTCACAAAGGAATAAAGACAGATGGAACGGGACCCTTTTTAAAAGGGTAACATTGGAGGGCTCTCTGCTAAGTGAAATAAGAGACAAATAGTGTATGATATCACTTATATGTGGAATCTAAAAACTACAACAAATTGGTGAATATAACAAAAAAGAAACAGACTTCCAGAGAACAAACTAGTGGTTACCAGTTGTGTGTAGGCGGAGGCAGTAAAAAGGTGGGGGAGTGGGAGGTACAAACTGTTGGGTATAAGATAGGCTCAAGGATGTAGTAACTGTAAATGGAAAGTAACCTTTAAAAATTGTGTAAACACTTTTACAAATTAGGAAAAAACAATGAGACATTACTACATATTCTCTAAAATGAGTAAAAATAAAGCTTGAAAAAAAATAAAAGGGGTACTATGAATGCTTTGTTGAAATTTTTGGGAGAAGGCAGCAATGGAACAGGAGGGTAGACGGCCATAGATTAGAATTGATAGGTGTAAATTGCAGACCAACCTGGGTAAGTTACATCCTTAGTTGTTAGTATATAAGTGCCTATTGGCACTGGCACCAGTCGTAGCAGAAGGCAGTGGCACCCCACTGCAGTACTCTTGCCCGGAGAATCCCAGGGATGGCGGAGCCTGGTGGGCTGCCGTCTATGGGGCTGCACAGAGTCGGACACGACTGAAGCGACTTAGCAGCAGCAGGAGCAGGTGCCTGTTAGAATTTCCATGTCTGATTCATTGACAGAAATTTCTTAGGCGTAATAAGGATTTTATTATCTTATTCTTTGGTTGATAAAGCAATTCATCATGACTGTAAAATAATGTTTCACATTTTTCCTGTGTAATCTAACTAGAAATTGTGAAACATGAGTATACTTTTCTTCAGCAGGTGACAGAATTTTGTGTGAAATATTTTGCTAAGAAAAAGATCGGGATGCAAGTGATTAAAAAAAAGAAAACATTTAAATCCTGAAATATTAAGCAGACAATGAAAGCAATGGGTTTTGAATTTCAACATTTCATAGGCAGATTAAATTTTAGAATTATTCTCTGTATATTGCTTCAAAAATTTTTTGTAAAGAGATGAGAAATAAATGTATGCACTTTTGCTTTCTCAAGGTATTAGGTGTCAAAAAGGGACAATATAAAAAAATCTTTTTCCTTAAGGTAGCATTGAGGCTTTAAAAATTGCTTTTATTTTTATGTTTGGTAACATCAATCTTTTGGTATCTTGAAGAGTAGATATTATTCAAAAGACAGGTATTTAAAATGATTATTTCGGCATTTTATTTGCTTTTATCTGTAAACCTAATTATTTTTTTTTAACTTTCAGCCAAACAATCATGATAGCATGTGTCAGCCCCTCAGACAGAGATTTTATGGAAACTTTAAATACCCTGAAATATGCCAATAGAGCTAGAAATATCAAGAACAAAGTGATGGTCAATCAAGACAGAGCTAGTCAGCAGATCAATGCACTCCGTAGTGAGATCACACGACTTCAGATGGAACTTATGGAGTATAAAACAGTAAGTTAATGATTTTGATTTTGTATTTTGTGTCCAGAGTAATACCTTTTTGTGATGGCTTTCACATGTGTCTCTGGAGGCTCTTGTCATAATGGTGGCATCTTTCCTTTTAGGGGTGGAATTCTATAGTTTTCTTTGTGGGTAGCTTTTAATAATATTCAGTCTAACAACTTGATCAGCCTCTTGTTTCAAAAGACTACTTTCTCAATCAACTTCTTTAGTGACAAATGCTCAATGAAGTGATGTAGTAGAGGAAAAAGGAAATCTTTTGCCTTGAGGCTGTTAAGGCAAAAGGGCTCTTGGTTGTAGAATTGCACAGTCCTGCAGTATCCTTTAACAAAACTCTTGTGTAGTTAGAACACCTCAACCAATAAGGAAATAACTTTTCTTTTCTAGGGCAAAAGAATAATTGATGAAGAGGGTGTGGAAAGCATCAATGACATGTTTCATGAGAATGCTATGCTACAGACGGAAAATAACAACCTGCGTGTGAGAATTAAAGCCATGCAAGAGACGGTCGATGCTCTGAGGACCAGAATCACACAGCTTGTTAGTGATCAGGCCAACCAAGTTCTTGTCAGAGCAGGTGTGTGTGTAGGCTGTGGAATGGTGAGGGATTACTTATGGAGTGCAGGAAATATTCTTCATGGAATAGTTGAAGTAAAAATGTCAGTTTCTGTGATTTTTAAGTTAATGTTTAATTTGTAAATAATATGTTCTTATAGAAATGAAATGTGTCTTTGCTTCATCATATTATCTTTCTGCTCATGGAATTAAGGGCAGGAAATTTGCTGTTTAAATTACGTTTCAAAGCATTATTGTTTGTTTCCATAACCTTGTTTTTCTTTTACTGTTTTCTGTTGAATGTTAAAGGAAATTCTTTTTTTTAATTAACTTTTATTGGAGCATATAGTTGATTTACAATGTTGTGTTGGCTTCTGCTATACAGCAAAGTGAATGTTACACATATATATATATTCCCTCATTTTTAGATTTTTTTCCTGTATAGGTCATTACAGAGACCTGAGTAGAGTTCCTTGTGCTATACAGTAGGTTCTTATTATCTATTTTTAAATATAGCAGTGTATGTATATATGTCAATGTCCATCTCCCAGTTTATTCTTTCCCCCTTTCCTTATTTTTTCTTGCAGGTGAAGGGAATGAGGAGATTAGTAATATGATTCATAATTACATTAAAGAAATTGAAGATCTCAGGTATAGTTTATATTCTGCAATATATAATGCACATAGTTGGGCTTTGCAGTGAGGTATTATTGCTACTATTTATTTGTTGGGCTTATTTTGTGTAGGGCTTCCCAGGTGGTGCTGGTAATGACCCGCCTGCCACTGCAGGAGACGTGAGATGTGGGTTTGATCCCTGGATCGGGAAGACCCTTTGCAGGAGGGCACGGAAACCCACTCCAGTATTCTTGCCTGGGGAATCACATGGACAGAGGAGCCTGGCTGGCTACAGTCCATAGGGTTGTAACTATTCACAGTGATATTTCAGCTCTTTGGTCAGGTTAACTTGAGGGGAAGGTACTTGCCTATAATGAAACATATGGGAATATAATGTCACAAACTACTTCTCACATTATCTTCTGGTGTTCTTCTACTGCTCTAGTTGTTATACCCTTAATTGGAAACTTACCAAACTTCATATAAGGATAGGCATAATTGATGTCAATGGAGTTGCCTCCTTGCGCTCCTCATCCTCCATCTGGGAATGCTTAATATCAATAAGTCATCCCTAATTTTTAAAATCTCCCATTACTCCTGTTCCTTTATACTTCCCCAGCAGTCTGAGTGAGTTATTGCGTCCCTATAATTTGCCTGCCCCTGGTATGTATAAAGCTCATTCATCACTCACATTTCACAAACATACAGCAAATACTCCCTGTAGGCCAGGCATCATGCCATGGATTGAACAAGTATGACATAAGCAAGGAGTTCACAGTCTAGGTGGGTCAACCTACATAAATAGTCACATGTAGTAAATGGGATGACCAGAATTGGTAAATGGAACACCCACACCTATTGTGGAAATGTGGAGGGGGCCACTGAGCACAGATTGTGAGAATAAAGGTCAGAAAGATGGTCAAGAACACTAATTATTTCTGTGATATTTTCAGGTTCCATGATTTGCCCTGTTGGCTGAGCTGCTTTCTCTTGAAATAAAACTGCAGTCAGCTCCATCGGGAGCATCTAACTAACTCAGAACTCAGTTCTTCTATCCATATGCAGAAAATAACCACGTGAAAGATCGTCTCTCACAGCTACCCTAACAATTCTCTATCTTGTGTTTGTGTTCTGTTTCCCTTTCTCTTCCTGTGGCTATTTTAGAGATACTTAAACAGAGATGAGTAGTTCTTCTACTGTTTCTGCCTCCATAAGGCACACCAGATCCCTTAAATGATTCAAAAAGTAAANAATTTGCTCAGCATTCAAATGTTCTTTTGATGAATTTGTAGGAGAGAAAGTGGTCTCCCCGTCCTATTCCTCCGCCATCTTGGCTCCTCCCTCCCACAAGTGTCTTTTAATTTCATGGTTGCAGTCACTGTCTGCAGTGATTTTGGAGCCCAAGAAAATAAAGTCTGTCACTGTTTCCTTTTTTCCCCCCATCCATTTGCCATGAAGTGATGGGACTAGATGCCATGATCTTAGTTTTTTGAATGTTGAGTTTGAATTTATTCTGTTTGTATATTTCCAAACTTTACCTTTTTGATGGAGAACTTTGGGGCCTTAGGTTATAGTTCTGTTCAGCAACCCAACCTGGGCTTGTAATTTCCATCTTGCATTGGCAATGATCTTTCCTGCCCACTGCCAAACACTTGTTCTCTGACCAGTCTCCAGGCCTTCCTGACTCTTTAGAGTCCATCTTTACCATTCCTTCTGACAAAACTCATCTCTTTTAGTTCCTAAAGACTTTTTCTGCTCCTATGTGCTTCTCTTTATCTTTTTTTATTTTCTTGGCATTGGTCAGTTGTTAGGCTGATCCATATTCTGGTTCTTGGGCTGCATTTCCTCTCTTCCATCCTGCTATTCTAAGACTGGATCTAAGCTTGATCTCACTATTTGATGAATGGCTTGATTAGTGTCACTATTTCCTAGAAAACTGACTAAATCATATATGTTCCTTCTAGTAGCTAACAGAAGCATCTTATATCTTTTTTTTTCTTTAAGTTCTTGAGTTAAGACTATTCCCTAAGTCATCTAGAGAACAATGATGACTCAGGCCTTGAGTTCAGTTGGTGATCAAATCTTTTGTGATATGGGTTAAGAGTTTATTCCACTTTCCCAACTTTTATCTGATGGCTCTTTAATTCAGTTTGTCCCGCTTAGAAGGAGTATTCTTCTACAATCTCAGTACTGTAATTTGTCATGTAAGTGTAACTTACATATGGAATAAACTTAAATAAGCTTTGAATTTATTTATTTATTTTTTAAACATAAAATTATATGTAACTTTTTTGTTTTGTTTTGTTTTTTCCATTTATTTTTATCAGTTGGAGGCTAATTACTTTACAATATTGTAGTGGTTTTTGTCATACATTGACCTGAATCAGCCATGGATTTACATGTGTTCCCCATCCCGTTCCCCCCTCCCACCATAAACTTTGAATTTAAATTGAGTTACCTGGATTGAATATTTTAAGCTTCTGTTTATTAAGTATATGAACTTGGACAAATTACCTAACATCTTTGATCTTTAGTGTTTGTCTGTAAAAATGAGATAATGCCCACTAGTGTCAAAGAATTTTTGTTGTTATTGTTGTTCAGTCACTAGGTCGTTTTCAACTCTTTTCAACCCCATCGACTACAGCTTTCCAGGCTTCCCTGTCCTTCACTGTCTCCCAGAAGTTGCTCAGATTCATGTCCTTTGAATTGGTGATACTATCTAGCCATCTCATGTTCTGTTGCCACCTTATCCTTTATCTTCAATCTTTCCCAGTATCAGAGGGTCTTTTCCAGTGAGTCGGCTCTTTGAATCAGATGGCCAAAGTATTGGAACTTCAATGTTAGCAGCAGTCCTTCTAGTGAATAATCAGGGTTGCTTTCCTTTGGGATTGATTGGTCTGACCTCCTTGCAGTCCAAGGGATGATCAAGGGTCTTCTCCAGCACCTTAATTCAAAGGCATCACTTCTTCAACTGTCAGCCCTCTTTATGGTCCAGCTGTCATATCCATACATGACTACTGGAAAGACTATAGCATTGACAATATGGAACTTTGCAACTTTGTTGGCAAAGTGATGTCTTTGCTTTTCAATATGCTGTCAAGATTTGTCATAGCTTTTCTTCTAAGGAGCAAGCATCTTTTAATTTCATGGCTGCAGTCACCATCTGCAGTCACTCTGGAGCCCAAGATAATAAAATCTGTCACTGCTTCCACTTTTTCTTCTTCTATTTGCCATGAAGTGATGGGACCAGATGCCATGATCTTAGTTTTTTGAATGTTGAGTTTTAAGCCAGCTTTTTCACCCTTTTCTTTCACTTTCATAAAGAGGCTCTTTAGTTCCTCTTTCCTTTCTGTCATTAGAGTAGTATCATCTCATCTGCATATCTGAGTTTATTGATATTTCTCTTGGCAGTCTTGACTCCAGCTTGTGATTCATCCAGCCAGGCACTCTGTGTAGTTCTTCTATGTATTTTTGCCACCTCTTTTTAATCTCTTCTGTTCTGTTAGGTCCTTGCCATTTTTATCTTTTGTTTACACATCTTTGTGTGAAATGTTCCCTTGTTATCTCCCATTTTCTTGAAGATGTATCTAGTCTTGCCCATTCTATTGTCTTCCTCCACTCCTTTACACTGTTCCATTAAGAAGGCATTCTTACCTCTCCTTGCCACGCTCAAACTCTACATTCAGCTGGGTGTATCTTTCTCCCTTGCTTTTTGCTTCTCTTCTTTCCTCAGCTATGTGTAAAGCTTCTGCAAACACCACTTTATTTTCTTGCATTTCTTTTTCTTTGGGATGGTTTTGGTTACTGCCTCCTGTCCAGTACTATGAGCGGTAGTTCTTTAGGCACTCAGTCTGCCAGATCTAATACCTTGAATCTATTCATCACTTCCACTGTGTAATCATAAGGGATTTGATTTAGGTCACACCTGAATGTCCTAGTGGTTTTCCCCACTTTCTTCAACTTAAGCCTGAATTTTGCAATAAGAGCTGATGATCTGAGCCACAGTCAGCTCCAGGCCTTGCTTTTGCTGACTATATAGAGCTTTTCCATCTTCACCTGCAAAGAATATTATCAGTCTGATTTCAGTATTGACCATTTGGTGATGTCCATGTGTAGAGTAGTCTCTTGTGTTGTTGGAAGAGGATGTTTGCTATGACTAGCATGTTATCTTAACAAAACTCTGTTAGCCTTTGCCCTGTTTCATTTTGTGCTCCAAGGCCAAACTTGCCTGTTACTTTAGGTACCTCTTGACTTCTTACATTTGCATCCCAATACTCTTCGATGGAAAGGACATCTCTTTTTTGTTTTAGTTATAGAAGTTCTAATAGGTCTTCATAGAACCATTCAACTGTTGCTTCTTCAGCATCAGTGGTTGGATCATAGACTTGGATTATTGTGATTTTGAATGATTTGCCTTGGAAATGAACTGAGATTATTCTGTCGTTTTTGAAACTGCACCCAAGTACTGCGTTTCAGATGCTTATGTTGACTATGAGGGGTACTCTGTTTCTTCTGAAGATTTCTTGCTCACAGTATAAAGATAATGGTCATCTGAATTAAATTCATCCATTCCCATCCATATTAGTTCACTGATTCCTAAGATATTGATGTTCACTCTTCCCATCTCCTGCTTGACCACATCCAATTTACCTTAATTCATAGACCTAACATTCCTGGTTCCTACGCAGTATTGTTCTTTATAGCACTGGCCTTTACTTTCACCACCAGACACATTCACAACTGTGCATCATTTCTACTTTGGTCCTGCCTCTTCATTCTTTGTGGAGCTATTAGTAATTGCCCTCTGCTCTTCCCCAGTAGCTCGCTGGCCTCCCTCTGACCTGGGAGGCTCATCTTCCAGTGTGATATCTTTTTGCCTTATCACACTGTTTGTGGAGTTCCTGTGGCAAGAATACTGGAATGGTCTGCCATTCTCTGGAGGCTCAGTTGGTGGAGAATGTCCCTGCAGTGCACGAGACCCAGGTTTGATCCCTGGGTGGAGAAGACTCCTTGGAGAGGGAAATTGCAATCCACTCCAGTATTCTTTTTTTTATTTTTTTCCACTCCAGTATTCTTGACTGGAAAATCTGATGGACAGAGTGGCCTGGTGAGCTACAGTCAATGGGGTCCAAAAGAGTCAGACACGACTTAGTGGCTAAACCACCACTTGTCGTTCCCTTCTCCAGTTGACCACCTTGAGCCATGAACTATGAACCGTGCCTCTTGCGTGGCCCTGCACAGTAGGGCTCATTGCTTCATTGAGTTACACAAGCTCCTTTGCCATGAAAAAACTGTGATTCATGAAGATGAAAGAATTATTGTGGGGCTCTGATAAAAGGACAGGATGTATAAAATCTTAAACTGAAAAATGCTATAAAGGTCTAACATGTTATTATTATCTAGTTATAAGTTCTCACATTGTGTTTTTATCTACCAAATTCTACTCTAATCCATATTTTAATCAATAATTTCTCTTAGGAAGGCATTCATTCACAGCTGCTTAATGCAAATTATGTCAATGTATTACCCCACATGGGAATGTTTATATTTTAAGTCTTATCATTTTAATTATAAAATAGTAACTGGTTACCTTTTAACAAACTTATACATCACATTATTTGTTGTGAAATTATAATAGTCACTAATTAATCCTAGTTTTCTGAGGTTTAAAGTTTTTGTAGAAATTTCTGAAAATATAGGAAAGTATTTAAAAAGTTAAAATCATCCAGAGTCATCATTCTAAGAAATGATGTTAACATTTTTTGTATATCACAAAAGAATATTTTTTTTTTCAGTGCATGCTTTTGTAAAATTTTTATCACATTGTATATATTGCTTTGCTATCTATTCTTTGAAATATAATAATATACTAGGAGCCTTTTAAAGTGCTATTAAATATTTTTTCTAACATGAGTTTTGCAGGGCTCCATGAGTACTATCTCATGGTTGTAATTGATTTAACTAAACACCTATAATTAGATAATTATATTTTTTCAACTTTTCAATAATAGTTACTATTTGTTAAAATATTCCTAGATAAATTTTAAATTCATTGTGTATCATCCTTATAACTATGCTAGAGAAGTATATATTTTCATCTCTTTTATGGAAGAAAAAGTGGAAGCTTTAACAGCATCATCTTTTAGGGTTCAATGAGTGAAAAAGCTGAGATGAGACCGTCAGTTTTCCTCTGTACTTCTCCTTATGCCTCACTGACTGGTCTCCAATTTAATGAAATGCAGACAATAACAAATGTGTGGGTGGGTGAGTGGAAAGAGAAGAAATTGCAAAGAGAGAGATGTTATTTCTATAGCCCTCAAAGAAAGCAAGAGTGTGGTGTGGGGTTAGTGGAGTTGGAGGTGAGCCCTAAGGGTTTCAGCCTTTATTAGCACCAGGACTGAAGCATTAAAAATATGCCCTTCCCAAATGCAAACTGTTAAAATCTGGTACTAATAAACATTATCTGATTATTATATAAATGAGCCAATTAAAAGCAGGTCATTATTGATACTTAATTTGTATTTTCAATCATTCTTAGCATTCATCATTTTGTACTCAGGCTCTAGCTAGATATTGAAAATATGAAAAAGTGTAAATTTTGACTTTGAGTTTTTATCATTAAGCTAATAATAATAAGCTTATCATTATTAATATTATTAATATTATTCTTATTAAAAGATAACAGCATTATATTCAGAATTTTCTTTAAACTGATTTTGAAATCATTTAACTTAGAAGTATGTACATTTAACAATTTTAAACGTTTAAATTTTCAACAATTTTAAACATTTAAATTTTAAGCTATTTAACATTTTTAAAACATTGTAGCTGTTGCAACCCTGGATATAAAGTAAAATAATTTCATTAAACAATATATAGGACACATAAAATATATTTACTGATTTGTGTATTCTTTCTCTAGCTGATTTCAGCGGTGTCAGGATTAATTTTGGTAGACAGTGAAAAAGCACAGAGCTGACTGCGTCTTCTCGAGCTCAGTAGCTGCAAATAATCTAGCATCTTCCTCTGAAACATTTGAACTTATGCAAAAGTACAGAGTCATATAGTTTTGAGACAGAGATGAGTGCATGCTAGTCGTAACAGGTAGTACTGCTGCTACTGCTAAGTCACTTCCGTCGTGTCCGACTCTGCGACCCCATCCCTGGGATTCTCCAGGCAAGAACACTGGAGTGGGTTGCCATTTCCTTCTCCAACGCATAAAAGTGAAAAGTAGTACTAGTGGGTAGCATTTTCTCCTTATAGCTCTGCCTCAATCACTCTTGGCCTTCCCAGGTAATGCTAGTGGTAAAGAACCTGCCTCGCAATGCAGGAGACATAAGAGATGTGGGTTCTATCCCTGGATTGGAAAGATCCCCTGGAGAAGGGCATGGCATCCACTCCAATATTCTTGCCTGAAGAATCCCTTGGACAGAGGAGCCTGATGGGCTACAGTCCATAGGATTGCACAGAGTTGGACATGACCGAAGCAACTTAGCAAGCCCCCAGTCATCCTTGTGCCAAATTGACCTGGGAAATGTATTATATTGAGGTAGTTAATTGTGTTCATGATGGTTTAAATTAAAATGGACTTAAGGAACTGGCCTAGAGGAGTCTCTGAATCCCTTGTAGTCTCAAGAATCAAGGCTCTTTTAGGATCTCATCTTTCAGTGTTTTTGCATTTTACTAAAACAGCACATGCATTATTCTCCTGTCATTGTGAGGACCACTTGAGCAAACAAAAGAATGTTTTCAATGATCAGACTCAGGTTTCCTTGGTGATTTTGTCTTTTCCCTTACCATATTCAGGAACCAGATATCTTTCAGCCAGTTAGGGGTATGTTTGACTAACTCTTTGGACATGTTATTATAGCATGATGAATAAGGAATGGAAGGAAGGGAACCATGCTGCTTGTACATTTTGTTTAAATGATGGGTTTACAAAGCCAGAATGACAAGTGTCTATTGGCCAGAATGCAAGTGATCTAATTATCACTGGCACTTTTGAGCACAGATTGTTACTTCAAATTTATAACTATTTAATCAGGAAAATTTTAAAAATATCTCAAAGACTAATGTTTGTGAACATATTTGTTTAAAAAACTGTACTTTGTAGCAGTGTTGAAATAAGTTTTGGGAAGTGTTTTAGCTTGCAAAACAGCTCATTTAATGTGTTCTCCATTTATTCCTAGAGTCGTCCAGTTTGCAAAGATAAAAGGTAGAATAGTAGTTTCTGGGGACTGGGAGGAGAGGGGAATGGGAAGTTATAGTGTATTTTATAAAATGGGTACAGAGTTTCAGTTGGAGAAGATGGAAAAGTTCTGAACGTAGATGGTAGCAGTGGTTATACAACAGTATGGATGTACTTTGTGTGGTAGAACTGTACATTTAAGAGACAGTTAGAGAGGTAAATTTTATTTTATGTATTATGTACCACAGTAATAACATGTTTACAACTGAAATGTATGTTTATTCACTAGGGCAAAATTATTAGAAAGTGAAGCAGTGAATGAGAATCTTCGAAAAAACTTGACAAGAGCCACATCAAGATCACCATATTTCAGCGGATCATCAGCTTTCTCCCCTACTATAATATCCTCAGATAAAGAGACCATTGAGATTATAGACCTAGCTAAGAAAGATTTAGAGAAGCTGAAAAGAAAAGAAAAGAAGAAGAAAAAGAGGTAGTGTTATAAAATCACTTTTATATGAATCTCTATTATTCTCACTTTATATTTTAATTTGCAGTTGCAATGAGTATATATAACCTCATATTAAAAAATGAAATGTCATTTAACAGATTATAAGCATATACTTTTAAAGATTTATCTCTTCCTTATATGTAAAAAATTAATTTAATTGCAATAATACATAATGAATTTTATTTAGACTGTGGCAAGGTAAAATTACTATTAGAGATTATTTTATTATTTCTTCAAATAGCTGCCTTTGCATTCCATTCATCTTTTCTGCAAAGCTGATTCTATCATTACTCAGTATTTTCATTTTTTTCCATTTTCTAATGCAGTTAAATAGTCTCATTGATAAATTCTGCTTCCTGTCTAGATTAGTTCAACTAAAGGCTAAATTAATTCATCAGGCTGTCATTTAATGTCATTTGGTCTCTTAAGTATTTTCAGCAGGACCTCTAATTTGGTTATGTCAGAGTTATTTATGTTATTTCCGACTTTCTGACTCTCCCAACAAGGAGTTACTCAGCTTTTCACCACTGTTCTAAGCTTCCTTTCCCTTGCATCCTGGTAGTATCTCCCTCTGAAATCAACTGGATGCAAAGAAGAGGAGGAAAATTAAAATATAACCACTTGTAATGTGTGAGTGGTTAAAACCTCATAAATTGTGTACATGTTTACATATTGATTCTATGGTGCAGTCAATTACTTACATAGAATATATTTTAAACATGCTGGTCAAATTAATTTTAAGCATTTTTGGCTAGATATTCCAAAGGGGAATAGGATGTCTTATTTGTTAAATAGCTTGTTATGGAAGTGCACTTTGTAGAATTATTATTGACATTTAATCCAGTGCTACTTTGCTCTGTTTATTTAGACATTTATTTTGGCAACCAGGCATATCTTCCTTGAGTAGTCTGTTTACTAAAGTTGTTAAAGGTTCAAACTCTCAGAATTAATTCTGCTGTGTATCCTGGAGTTAAGAAGGGATTATTAGAATAATTAAACCAGGAATTGCACATCCATGGTCTTAGGAGCATTGTAATTGCAATTGCATCCTTGAGATCCTAATGTCTTAATAGGTATTGCTCATGAGTGGTTGATTATGGCAGCATTAGAAATATATAATGATTAGTTTTTATGTAGGGCACTTAAAACTGTAATAGTGTTCACAGATTATCAAAACTGGTGTGACTCAACATACTGTGGAAATGAAAATGAGACCTTTGCATATAACTTATCATTTATTTGTAAAATTCAGTTGTGTAGTTGGTCAAAATGTGAAATGGTATGACTTGTTTTTAAAGGTGTAGGTAGTTTGGGTTCACGAATAGTAAGCAAGGATATATTTCTCAAGGTCATGAGTTGATTCTGCTCTTTCCTTTTGAGGTAAATTTAGAGATGTTACCATAGTCACCTGTTGGGTATGAATAATAATTAATAGGGATCCCATTAGAAACCTAGGCTCTTTTGACATTTTTATAGTGATCATAGGTACCATAAATTAATACCTCTGATGCAGGTTATTTTTGTAACAATGCAAAGTTGTAAGCTTTTTGATTGATAAATATTACTATTTTAGTCAGTTTGATAAAACATTTCTTTTATGACCAATAACTTTGAGCTGTATGCATATGTAATATAAATTCTCATTTTAAAAATGTTAAATTTAGCTAAAAATGTTAAATTTTAGCTAACAGGTCTTTTGTTACGGTTGAAACAAAAATAATAAACAAAGAGGTCCAGAAATGTTTAGAATGATAGCAGCTTTACTGAAGTTAGTGATTAGTCTCTGTAGGAACTCTTTGGAGGCAGTAGGTCCTGTTGGGATGTATTGATTCTGGTTGAGTTGCCTTACATGCTGCATATTTATTTATCAAATAGAGCATTGCAAGATTTGGTGCTACCTCAACTTTGCATATACAGTGAGTTCCATTTAAAATTGTTTGCAATGTGGAACTAATTTTTCTCTAGAAATTGTTACAAATGTATAATGTCCAGATTTCCTAACTCATACACATGAAACAATATTTATTCATTTTATAGTATAATACGAGCAGTTCAAAAGGGAATAGGAAACGGAAAGTAGCAGAGGTAAAAAATGAGTTTCTGCCTTAGCCAGTCTCTCTTATTCCTACTTACTGACCTCCTGTGTCCCAGTGGTGCCTTGATTCATTCCTCCCTTATGAGGTCAGTTCTCATGTAATTCTTCCCTAGCCCAAAGCACTCCCAATTTCAAAATCATCTACTTCTCTCATCTCCTTAAATTCAAAGTTGGAAACAAAGCCATCTGACTAAAGGAACTCATGCCAGTGGAAATGACTTATAACTAATAAGATTCCTCTAGGGAGATTCATAATTTTGAAAGAGAAAACATTAATCCAACTATTGAAAATGTGGGCAGCAATCTCATGAGGAAAAAAATATTAAATAGTGTAGGGAAGTTTTTTTTTTTTTCCACACCCCCTTTTGGCTGAGAGTTTCCAAAACCTATCTGGAGTTTGGCCTTTGGGTTCAGTTTTGCTCAGCTGTCCCAGTTCTCATAGCTGCTTTCGTTTCTCCCACTGAATCTGCAAATCTTTTAGAAGCTCCATGTCTTTTCATTTCCTTTGTCTTGTGTTGTTAGCATTTGGTTGTAGTTACTACAGGGCCTCTGACGCCGTAAGTGTTGGTTGGAAGAATGGTGACTATATCATTTTTAAGTCAGAAGCTATGTTTGTTTTTAAGGAGTATGCCCCAAATCATATTTTATGTGACTGTTTCACCCTCTTCTGCATCCAAGTTTTTATCTAAACTACAACCAATTGTTAATGTGTGTGGTTTAAAGGTTGGCTTTTCTGCCTTTCTGTGCTTATTTTCTGTTGAACTGTAAAATAATCCAAGTGCAGATAATAAGCAGGTAAGGAAGAATGATTGAATTGACAACATTGCCTGTTTTTATTTTTTAGTTATACAAATGTTAGAATGGTTAGCAAGATTTGTCACAGGACCCCCACCCCATTTAACTTTGCAAGAAACATAATAATGGAACTAAATGAAATAAAGACCGTACTCCTTTAAACTATGGAGAATTATCAGATTATTAGTTTATGTCTCTGCCCCTTTACTATTTTTTGGACTTTTTGTTTGCGTTTTTTTTTTTAAAGAAGCAACTGGGAAGGCATCTAAAGTTTACCTGTCTATTAGCTCACATCATCCATATGTTTTAATATAACTCTCTTGTGTAAGGTAAACAAAATTTCTTCATGCTGAAAATAGAAAATTAGAGCTGTTTGACAGGGAACCATATTCTTTGAGCCATTATAGTTCATTATGATCAATATAAGCCTAAATTAGATTTTTTTTTTTGCTTTTTTTGGTGTATGTGGATAAATAAAATTTGCCTTTCACACAGTAATCCCCATATTTTGGATATCTAGCTTTAAATGGTTTGCATTATATCAATAAAAAATTCACTCATTCATCAGACTGCATTATGTTTTTATTTAGTGGTGTCAGGTTGAAACTCTAGAAACTCTAGAGATTTCTTAAGCAATGGCTTTTCTTTCCCTTTTTCAGCCATTATACTGGACATTTTGATCCCTGATGAATATCACTCTGCAATTTTTTTTCTCAGAAAGATTGCTAGTCTCTTCTTGCAATAGCAGTTTATAAGTTGATTATAAAAACAATCACAGACCTGCAAATTAAAATCACATTATAAAATTAAAATGAGAAATGCCTGATGAAATGCATTACTAAGACTCCATCTATTTATTTAAAAATATTGATGATTCTGAAAAGTATTCTTGGAATTGCAGGCAGAAATATACTATGTAAAGATTGCTATATGCTTAATCAGAGCCTAGCACATCTATCTCTATCTTTTTGTCTATATGAGAGAGAATGGGTATTCAGTACATTCCGTTGAGTAAAGATTCCCAATTCTGTGTATTGAATATTCTTTAAACTTCACACTTCTAAATACATATTTATAGTTTTTCTCATAGTTTTCTGGTTAAAAAATAATCTTACTAATGAAAAGTACTACATTTCCCATTTTATTGCTGCCTTTGCCTTAGATATAACCTTTTGATAGTCTAGTAATTAGTACAGTGATATTAATTTCAGTTAATAAAATTATAATTTTCCACTGATATCATAACCATATTCATTTGACCATAATACCATTTCATATATAATTCTGAAATAGAATTTTTAGTGATGTTCATGTGTAGTATATTAAAATATAAAATAAGTTTAAAAATTACTATCCTAGTATATAGTATTAATGGTATTTTCATATTATGGTATAAAGGCATTACTTTTTGAAGCTCCTTAAATGATGCCATAAAAAAGTATTTTGTAAAGGTTTAAAAAGAAGATGATATCATTGAAAGTGAGCTTTTTTTTTTTTTTGGAAGCTGAGAACCTTGATCCATTTCAGGTTAAGAAAAGCAATGGCATCCAAATACTCGTACTATTTATCAGCTTCATAAATTGAGAATGTACATTTTATTGCTGAGTAATTTCAACTGATAGTCTATATACTCTTCTTAGATATAATGCTGCTTGTTTTTCTACTTACTTTTTCTTTATACAAAATGTATTGCCTTTTTACTGTGTATTGTCCTTTGATGATATCTTTTAAAATTTATTTTAAAGTCTTCAAGCTCATGTATCATTTTTACCTTCTTATCACTTTCGCTTTTTACTGTCTGGTTTGTCCTTCATTGGCTTGGCCTTCCAATACTGTGCCTCGTGATTTTGAAGGCTACAGAAACTTGAGGAAAGCAATCGAGAAGAAAGAAGGTTGGAATATTTCCCAGGTTTTTTATTAAAATGTCATTTAAATACTTAGTTGGCATTCACAAGGGTATGTGTTGTAGAATTATAGATTATTTCAGACTATATTAGCTTGGTGTTCCTAAAAATAATGATGATTTTATAAAATTAACAAAAACACTGAAAATATAAAAACTACTTTTTGAGAAAAAACCCACACCAGTTATATGAATTAAAATTCAGGCAATTTCATGTGAATTTAGTATAGACTATTATAATTTTTATGGCTAAAAATGACCCAAGAACCCCACCATTAAACTTTTAGAATATATCTTTTGGAAACTTGTGAATAGATAGAATTATTAATTTGGTGGGAACTAACATTTTGCTGCAGCACATGCTAAGTTATGGGTGGACTCTTTCTCTTCACTTCCTTATTTTATGTATCTTTGTTAGAAAAACAACATTAAAATGGCAACAAGGCAAAAGGAAACTGTAGCCTTGCTACAGACAAGATTTATAAGACATATTTAAGGTTGAATAAGAAAAACAAGTTTTGCTATTTAAATGTATCTAAAGTGAACATCAAAAGCAGGATCTTTTCCTTTTTTTTCCATTTGATATTTGAGCAAAATTTAGAAGCTCACTTTTGAACTCTCAATATAATAAAAATTTGCAGTTTACTCATTTAGTACTATGATTATTTAACCATGTGTCAAGTACTATTTTACTTATTAGAAATTCTCTCTGCTGATTTTACTAAACATCTCCTAAATACATCATCAAAATGATTAACATAAACTGATTTCAAAATAATATTAAATATTTTAGAAGCACCACTTTATAAATTTTCTTACTTAAAACAAGCCTTTTGAGAAATTTTATTTTGGAACAATTAAACTAATCTCTTAATTTAAATAGCTGAAACCTTAAAATTATATTTTCTTTAAGTTATTTAATAATCTACATTCCACAATTATATTCTACATATTGTATTCTGTGAAACTCGCTCAGCTGTGTCCAACTCTTTGCGATCCCATGGGCTATACAGTCCGTGGAATTCTCCAGGCCAGAATAGAGGAGTGGCTAGCCTTTCCCTTCTCCAGGGGATCTTCCCAACCCAGGGATCAAACCCAGATCTCCTGCATTGCAGGCAGAATCTTTACTAGCTGAGCCACAAGGAAAGCTTATATTCTAAAGTTTCTATAATTTATTCTAGAAATTATTAGTATATTCTATAGCTAGAATATAATTCTATCTATAAGTCATTTTAGGACTCACCTAATTGATTTATGTTTAGGATATTATGTTTATCACTGGGATTAAATTAGGGCAATAAAGTGTAAAAAATTTTCCATTTTGAAAGGTCAAAATAAAATGTGTAGTTAAAGTAGTGTAATAGAAACATTTTCCCACCTTCAAGTAGTTAAGTCCTTTAAATGTACTTAATGAACATGGTTTGCTTCTAATATTTATATGATTCCTAATGGATAACAGAAGCAGAGTTATTTGGTGTTTTAGGACAAGGCTTCTTAGACATGAATGTGCATGTAGATAACCTGTGGAGTTTGATAAAGTGAAGACTCTGACTCAGTAGAACTGAGGTGGAGCCTGAGATTCTACATATCTTACAAGCTTCTGGATGATGCTGATGCTTCTCTCTCTGTGAACCGAACTTTGAGGCAATGTTCTCGAATACTGGCCTTGGAGTCATGACACCTGGTTTTAAGTCCCCTTGAGTTGATAAACTTCCCCAGGACAAAGTTTCTTTTTTTTTGTTGTCAACAGAGATGTTGACGTTGGTTGTCAAGATGTCAAAGGTTTTAAGTCATTTGATCACTAGTCTTCCAGCTCAAAGGTTCTGATTCTATGTAGAGTACAAACTTACATATTTTTCGTTGCTGCTTAGACAGTTATTTTAGATATAAAATTTCCCCAGTTTATTGAGGAAAGCTTGAATATTTGCTGTATAATAATCATTAAGTATCAAATGGTACTCTAAAAGCTGAAGCTTTAAGTAATATAGGGTAAATTAATAATGTAAACTTACTGCTGATTTTTCTGCATCAGAATTGGCACAAACAGCTTATACTGTATGAATTAATTTCATATGTCAGTGGAAGTAACATTTGTTGAGCTGGACTCTGGTGTCTTGGAGGAAGTAGGAGGGTGTGTTAGGTCAATTATGTGGAACAAGGTGGTAGTATGGCTATAAACCTGAATAAAAGGAAATTTGTGCTGGAACCTGAAGTAACGAAGGAACTGATAATAACAAAAATTGTATGTCGCAACAGTTGCAGATGAGGAAGGGAAACTGCGTAGAAGAGGGAGTAAGAAATATCTCCATACACATGCTCTTTTCCTAGCTCCAAGACTTAGGTCTATCTCAAGTATAGCCCTGCTTGAGTACATGGCGCTGGCCTTTGAGTCAGATGACTGGATGAAGGGGAATTTCTTTCTAAATTTCCATCTTGAAATGCACGATGATGGAAAATCAACATCCTGAGTGATGTATGATAGGCATTCAAGTATGTTCAGCATTTTTCTCTAACAAGTGATTTAACAAACTCATGGAACCTTGTTGTAGCTTGCTTGATTCCTCTCCAGTTAATTGATATTCTTGCTAGTAGTTTCTACTCACTCTAGAGATGTGCTGTATTTCACGCATCTTTATGCATCTTTCAATTTGTACAACTTTACTCCAACATAATTAGTATGGGAGACTCAGCCAGAGGTGCCAAACAGAGATGCTCATGCACAGTCATAGGGATGAATATGTTTAATAAATCCTTCATGTATATTTATTATGCACATACCACAGGTACCGGGTATGTAATGCTGAGCCAAACAGATATGATCCCTATTCTCACGAGACTTACACGGTCTAGTAGGAGATAGAAATTAAAGAAATAGCTACCTAAATAAACATAAATTAAGAATTATGAAAATTTTAAAAATTAAGAATTTTCAAAGGAAAAGTATTTATATTCATCTTGTTCTGAGTTCAAAAATGTCTCTGAGAGTTGGGACCTAGAGTTAAACATTAGAGATTGATAATAATAGCAGGACCTACATAAGATTAATTTTTTAGCCTAGAAGCTAAAAATAAGTCCCTGTATTAGGGCAGTTATTTAATGTAGCAGAATATCTGAAAGAAATGATAGCTGTTATAAAGATATTCTGATAAAATTTTTTAACTATTTCTAAGGAAATTTTATTTCAAGAATATTGCTTGATTCAAGTATTCTTTTTATTCTTAATGATTTTAAAATACTAAAGCTCAAGAAGAAAATGTTCACATGTAGATTCATTTGAAATTCATTTTCTTAATATTATTTAGCTTGATAAAAATATATGAGTCTGATTAACAGAAGTATAACTTCTGTGCATAATTGATCATGGTTGCTAAACCAAGAAGGGTCAGAGTGATTTAACTATTTAAAATTTTTTCTTGCTGTGGAATCTTCTTTTTCTCATGGACACTAGGGCTCAAGTAGTTTAGCTATAACATTATTTGACATCAGTATGCAGTTAGAGCTGTTATACTGAATCCCGAAAAGGAGACTTTTGTTTGGTTGGTGAATCTTGTGACAGATTCTGGAATTTCCTATTCAGTCAGCTGTCAGATTGAACTTCAGACAGTTTTGATGTGTGGAGATCCGTTTCTGTGAGAACATTATGAAAAGTAGCCTTGTGCTACAGGGATGACCTGGGAGAAAAGAGCTGGTGCTATTACCAGGGGAAATCTGAAGACAATGACAAATGCCCTCAGGGGAGACAAACCTACCGTGGGCAGATTTACCTTTAAGTGTATTAGGACATCAATAAAAATGAAGTTTCTGTATCTTTGTATTAAGATGAGAAGACATTTATATATTTAATTGAGAAAACAAAACTATTTTTAATTTCCATTGAAATTAGTTTGCCTGCATTCTAGCTTGTGGAATGTTACTGTGAGTAGTTCTTAGCTGTCTTATCAGGTGTCATGCTCCAGGGTATAATCTATCCTCAGTGTTTCTAGAAAATAAGGTTTTCTCCAATTATATAAATTCACTACACTATGAGTTGAATGGCAGTTTCTATTTTCCTGTGAAGCATCAGACATGATAACTTTGCTCTTTGTTAAATGATGGACTCTTCTCATTTGTTTTCAGAAATAATTGATGGTTTTTAAAAATCTGCAAGGAGAAAAGTAAAGAATTTTCCTCTTTAATACTATACATTTTTGTTTCTTTTTTTTGAAGTGTGGCTGGTAAAGAGGATAATACAGAAACTGACCAAGAGAAGAAAGAAGAGAAGAATATTTCAGAAAGAGAAAACATTGAATTAGAAGTTGTAAGTATGAAAGAATGAACCTGGAATTTTGAGTCCCTGGGTTAGGTTATTCTTGGTTGCTGATAACTGTGCTAACTTATATGTAGAAATTTTAAACTGTATCCTTGAGGACTTCTTTTCTTCAGAAATGTGAGATATGAAATATTAGCAAGTTATAGTCTTGTGCATTTTGAAAACATTTTCTATGGGATAATAGAGTACTAAGAGATAAAGTACTCTTTGATTTAAGACAAGGTTATTATAAAATAACCTTAAAATTGTGTGTTGATTTATTTTAACAGGAAGTGAAATTTTTATGCACTTATACTTTATAATCACACAGTTTCTCTTTTTTTGTATTTATTCAGGGAGACTTTATTGTAGATTTTAATATGTGAAGTATCATAATAGAGACAGGGCAAAATTAAATCATACTGCTAGGCACACTCCAAAATGAGGGAAAAAGAAAAATTCTGATTTTGTTTTTTTTGGTTTTTTTAAATTTTCTTTTATTTTTTACTGAAATGTGGTTGCTTTACAATGTTGTTAATTTCTTCTGTACAGCAAAGTGAGTTAGTTATATGTATCCATATATACACTCTTCTTTAGATATCTTTCCTATTTAGGTTGTCATAGATCATTGAGTAGACTTCCATTTGGTATACAGTAGGTTCTCATTAGTTATCTGTTTTATACATAGTAGTATATATATGTTTATCCTTATCGTCCAAATCAATCCCACCTCTCCTCACCTCCTTGGTAACCATACATTTGTTCTCTTCATCTGTGATTCCATTTCTGCTTTACAAATAAATTCATTTGCATTATTTTTCTAAATTCCACATAGATGTATTAATATACTACATTTTTTCTTTCTGACTTACTTCACTCCATATGACAATCTCTAGATCCACCCATATCTCTGCAAATGGTACGATTTTGTTCTTTTCTATGACTGAGTAATATTCCACTGTATATATGTACCACATTTTTTTATCCATTCCTCTGTCAATGGACATTTAGATTGTTTCCATGTCATGGCTATTAGATATAGTGTTACAATGAACAGGGAGCATGAATCTTTTTGAATTATGTTTTTCTCCAGATATATCGTTAGGAGTGGGATTGGTGGGTCAGATGATAGCTCTACTGTTAGTTTTTTAAGGAACCTCCATACTGCTCTCCATAGTGCCTATACCAATTTACATTCCCACCACCAGAATAAGAGAGTTCCCTTTCCTCCACACCTTCTCCAGCATTATTGTTTGTAGACTTTTTTCAAGATGGTCACTCAGACCAGTGTGAGATTTTTCATTTCTCTGATAATTAGTGATGTTGAGCATCTTTTCATAATTAGTGATGTTGAGCATCTTTTCATGTGTTTGTTGACCTTCTGTATGTCATCTCTGGTGAAATTTCTATTTACGTCTTCCATCCATTTTTGATTGGTTTGTTTGTTTTTTGATATTAATATTTAGCTTCATGAGCTCTTTGTATATTTTAGAGATTAATCCTTTGTCAATTGCTTCATTTGCAAATATTTTCTCCCATTCTGAGGGCTGTCTTTTTGTTTATGGTTTCCTTTGTTGTGCAAAAGTCTTTAAGTTTAGTTAGGTTTCATTTGTTTATTTTCATTTCTGTTTTCATTAGTCTAGGCAGTTGATTGAAAAAGATCTTGTGATTTATGTCAAGGGTTGTTTTGCCTATATTTTCCTCTAAGTGTTTTATGGTATCTGGCCTTGCATTTAGGTTTTAATCCATTTTGAATTTATATTTGTGTAGAGTGACAGTGAGGGTTCTAATTTCATTCTTATACATGCAGCAGTCCAGTTTGCCCAGCACCATTAATTGAAGAGACTGTCTTTTCCCCACTGTATATTCTTGTCTCCTTTGTCATAGATTAAGTGGCTGTAGGTGTGGGTTTATTTCTGAACTTGCGATCCTGTTCCATTGATCTACATGTTTGTTTCTATGCCAGTACCATACTGTTTTGATGACCGTAACTCTATAGTCAGGAAGTCTGATTGCTCCAGCTCTGTTCTTTCTCAAGGTTACTTTGGGTATTTGAGGTCTTGTGTTTCCATACAAATTGTACAATTTTTTTCTTCTAATTCTGTTGTGTAGTCTCTCTTAATGAGGTAATCAGTTTACTTTGCCAATATTGTGCTATTAATGGGCACACATCACATTTTAGGAAGAAAGTCAAGAAGTGAGTGATCATGAAGATGAGGAAGAGGAAGAGGAGGAGGAAGAAGATGACATTGAAGGGGGTGAAAGCTCTGATGAATCAGATTCTGAATCAGATGAAAAAGGTATTTGTCCTTTGGTGCAAGGACAAAAATTTATTTTGGGAAATTGTTTAAAACATAACAGAAAACTCTTAGCACTCTCCATCTCATCCTTGTATGCCCTCCAAGACTCATGTTTATCTCTTATTGTAGTTAGTCATTATGTGACTTCCATTTTTATTTGGAACCAGTGGTATTTCTTGTCCTTGACCAATGTGAACACTCTTTATCTTGTTGCCAGTTTTTTAGTTTTTGATATATTCAGGATATTTTCCTTACAGCTGCCAAGTGAATACTTGAATGTAGAGATGATTTTCATGCTTTGATTATAGCCTATCCAGTATTTTTATTTTTTTCTTTTATACTAGCCAATTATCAAGCAGACCTAGCAAACATTACTTGTGAAATTGCAATCAAGCAAAAGCTGATTGATGAACTAGAAAATAGCCAGAAAAGACTGCAGACGCTGAAAAAACAGTATGAAGAGAAGCTAATGATGCTACAACATAAAATTCGGGACACACAGCTTGAAAGAGACCAAGTGCTTCAAAACTTAGGTAAGAATTATATTTAATTCAAATTAAAGTTCACATTAAACTATCACATTGGATTTTTATCTTTTCTTCCTTTATAGGAAAAAAATTATATTAGAAGTCACATTAAATGGTAATTTATCTTATTATGTTTGTGGGTTTATTTCTGAACTTGCGATCCTGTTCCATTGATCTACATGTTTGTTTCTATGCCAGTACCATACTGTTTTGATGACCGTAACTCTATAGTCAGGAAGTCTGATTGCTCCAGCTCTGTTCTTTCTCAAGGTTACTTTGGGTATTTGAGGTCTTGTGTTTCCATACAAATTGTACAATTTTTTTCTTCTAATTCTGTTGTGTAGTCTCTCTTAATGAGGTAATCAGTTTACTTTGCCAATATTGTGCTATTAATGGGCACACATCACATTTTAGGAAGAAAGTCAAGAAGTGAGTGATCATGAAGATGAGGAAGAGGAAGAGGAGGAGGAAGAAGATGACATTGAAGGGGGTGAAAGCTCTGATGAATCAGATTCTGAATCAGATGAAAAAGGTATTTGTCCTTTGGTGCAAGGACAAAAATTTATTTTGGGAAATTGTTTAAAACATAACAGAAAACTCTTAGCACTCTCCATCTCATCCTTGTATGCCCTCCAAGACTCATGTTTATCTCTTATTGTAGTTAGTCATTATGTGACTTCCATTTTTATTTGGAACCAGTGGTATTTCTTGTCCTTGACCAATGTGAACACTCTTTATCTTGTTGCCAGTTTTTTAGTTTTTGATATATTCAGGATATTTTCCTTACAGCTGCCAAGTGAATACTTGAATGTAGAGATGATTTTCATGCTTTGATTATAGCCTATCCAGTATTTTTATTTTTTTCTTTTATACTAGCCAATTATCAAGCAGACCTAGCAAACATTACTTGTGAAATTGCAATCAAGCAAAAGCTGATTGATGAACTAGAAAATAGCCAGAAAAGACTGCAGACGCTGAAAAAACAGTATGAAGAGAAGCTAATGATGCTACAACATAAAATTCGGGACACACAGCTTGAAAGAGACCAAGTGCTTCAAAACTTAGGTAAGAATTATATTTAATTCAAATTAAAGTTCACATTAAACTATCACATTGGATTTTTATCTTTTCTTCCTTTATAGGAAAAAAATTATATTAGAAGTCACATTAAATGGTAATTTATCTTATTATGTTAAATATTACTATTCATTTTGTTTTTTTCGTTCCGATATCTGTCTAGGCTAATTTTTTTTTTCCCCAAAGTTGTGGCTAATTGTTTTAGTGCCTTGATTTATGCTGGGAACTTTCTTTAAATTAGATAAGCATTCAATAGCTGTTAAATAAGAATCAATATTAAAAGAGAGAATAATTAAGACACCTTGGCCTCCTGAGGCTTGTATTTGGGAGATAGTTCTTCTCTAAGGTCATGAATAATATTTCTGTAAAATAAATATCTGTATCTCACAAAAACAAATACAAATATTGTTTGGTCATTTAGGCTCAGTGGAATCTTACTCAGAAGAAAAGGCAAAAAAAGTTAGGTCTGAATATGAAAAGAAACTACAAGCCATGAATAAAGAACTTCAGAGACTTCAGGCAGCTCAGAAAGAGCATGCAAGGTTGCTTAAAAATCAGTCCCAATATGAAAAACAATTGAAGAAATTACAGCAGGATGTGATGGAAATGAAGAAAACTAAGGTATTGATTATATTTTCAATTAATGTTTGATGGTAATACTTGTGTCATTTGGGACCAAAAAAATATTGTGGTTCTTTCTGTGTTCTGTATTCTTTCTGTGACCTAGAAATGATGCACTTCCTTTTGGCAGTTAGTGGTTGATTCCTATAGTCATCCATTATCAGAATCTCTCTTTGAAATGGCTGAAAATCATGTGGTCAGTAGGACTTCTCTGACTTTAATGGATATTTATCTTTATTTTCTTAAAACTCTTACACAGATTAGCAAAAGTGAAAATATTTCAAACATGAAAAATGCAGAGATAATAACAATGAATAATATATTCAGTATTTAGTTTAAGGTATTAAATATTACAGATATGTACAAAACCTCCTATATATCCCTTCCTGATCATGGTCTCATTTCCCTTAGAGGTAACAACTATCTTGAATTTGGTGGTTATCGTCCCATGCATAAAAGACTGCAAGTTTTCTTCCCTTGACCTAAGAGAGTATGTGAATTCTTATCTGTTATTGTTTTTGTTTTAGAATAGATTATTCTTAACATTTTGCCATGAAAATCAATATCAGTTCAGTTCAGTTCAGTCGCTCAGTCATGTCCTACTCTGCGACCCCATGAATCACAGCACACCAGGCCTCCCTGTCCATCACCAACTCCCGGAGTTTACTCAAACCCGTGTCCATCGAGTTGGTGATGCCATCCAACGATCTCATCCTCTATCATCCCCTTCTCCTCCTGCCCTCAGTCTTTCCCAGCATCAGGGTCTTCAATGAGTCAGCTTTTTGCATCAGGTGGCCAAAGTATTGGAGCTTCAGCTTCAACATCAGTCCTTCCAATGAACACCCAGGACTGATCTCCTTTAGGATGGACTGGTTGGAGCTCGTTGCAGTCCAAGGGACCCTCAAGAGTCTTCTCCAACACCACAGTTCAAAAGCATCAATTTTTCAGTGCTCAGCTTTCTTTATAGTCCAACTCTCACATCCAAACATGACCACTAGAAAAGCCATAGCCTTGACTAGATGGACCTTTGTTGACAAAATAATGTCTCTGATTTTTAATATGCTGTCTAGGTTGGTCATAACTTTCCTTCCAAGGAGTAAGC